CTGCGTAATATCTTATGGAAAAAATAAAAAGTCTGTAGTTTCATATTATGCTCTATTGTTTATTTTGTGGTGTCACAAAATACATTATTTATGCTGACGTATTTTGTGTTGTCACAAAATACGTCACCGTAAATAATAAATTCAAATAACATTGAGAGAAAGATTCAATCTCTATGGTACAATGTTTACATTTTGCACTCTTTTTAGCTTTTTTTTATTTATTTTATGTTAGACCTGTAATTATAAATTTTTTTTTTAAGTGTTGTATATTTTATTATTTCTACTTTTTTATTCAAACTTTTGCGAGTGAGAAAGGTGATCACATATGTATAAGTGTTTACATATGTATAATATTTACATATGTATTTACTTTAAAATGTAGAAAAAAACCTCCACATGTTTTCAATATATATATTTTAAGTTATTAATTAAAAGGATATGAGATGACATATAGTGATGTGAGATGTTTGTCATTATCACCTTGTCCTAATTGAAAGTCTAAAAAGAAAGTTCCTTTTGCAGTTTCTGGTGGAAAAAAATAATAACTGAATGCTTGTCAACAGTCCAGACCTTGAGAGATGTCCAGTTCTGCTCCTTAAGGGCCAGTACATACCTGGAAGTTTCTAGGAAGTCTAAAGACTTTGATTAGCAGGTTCAGGTGTGTTTAATTATAGCTGTAGAAAATCTCCACTACCACCCCTTCAGGGTTTTCTGTAATTTTAAGCAAGCCCACATGAAATCTGCACGCAAATTAAAGTATTTACAATGGATTAATTATGCATATATATATATATATATATATATATATATATATATATATATATATATATATATATATATATATATATATATATATATATATATATATATATACATACACACACACACACATTTCCAAATTTTCCGTATTTTACTAATATAAAAAATTTTTTACTATTGACTAATACTATAATTCTCCACGGTTTGTGAACTAATATTATAAATTTTTATCTTATGGTATATTTTATATGAGAAACTTTCTTTGGATCTAATTGGATTTACATTGTACACCCTAAAAACCTAAAAAAGGTAACCTTCATTAGGTTTATAGTTATGATACCCCTAAAGTCATTCCACATAAATTCGCCGATTTTTACTAAATTCTGCACAAAAATATAAAAAAATAAATTTTTAAAAATTATCAGCCTGTCTGGGCCTGGTTTTAAGTCAACCTATTCAGCAGGAACTACAGTAAACCAATTAAATCCTGGTTGATGCTTTCTGACTTCAGTGTATTTCTCGGTTGAGCTTTAAACATCATGTCAGCTTATTAGAAGGGCTAGGAATGTTCATCTCTATCTTTCTGCTAAAAAATAAAATAAAAAAAGAACTTAAAGGCCATCACTTGGCTCTTTTGCTGGTTTTGGGGAGACTTTTTAAACCAGCTTAAACCATGTAGATTCCTTTTGATTCCATTGTGTGTCACAGTAAATACAATTGAACATAGAATTATTAGCCCCCCTGAATTATTAGCCCCGTTTATTTTTCCTCCAATTTCTGTTTAACAGAGAGAAGATTTTTCAACAAATTTCTAAACATAATAGTTTTAACTCATTTCTAATAACTGATTTATTTTACCTTTGCCATGATGACAGTAAATAATATGTTTCTAGATATTTTTCAAGACACTTCTATACAGCTTATAGTGACATTTAAAGGCTTGACTAGGTTATTAAGTTAACTAGGCAGGTTAGGGTAATTAGGCAAGTTATTGTATAACGATGGTTTGTTCTGTAGACTATTGAAAAAAATCTGGCTTAAAGCAGCTAATAATTTTAACCTTAAAATATTTTTTTCTTTTTTTTTTAACTGATTTTAATCTAGATGAAATAAAACAACTAAGACTTTCTCCAGAAGAAAAAAAATATTATCAGACATATAATTTCCTTGCTTTGTTAAACATCATTTGGGAAATATTTAAAAAAGAAAAAATCTAATGGGGACTAATTAATCTAACTTCAACTTGTGTAATCATTACAATATAAAGGGTGATTCTTGTAAAACTACACAGTAAAAGAGCTTGAAAGTAGTCAGCTGGTCTCAGATTTAGGTTTTGCGATATTTTAAATTAGCTGGTCAGAGGTCAGGCTGAGATAAGCTTACTAGAGATGGGCCAGTCTCTAGTTGTTTGCCAATATCTGTAAAAAAATCCCCCACAATTAAAAGGTACAAAATAACGATAAAACCTAAAACTGGTGTAAGTTATTAAACTGGCAATGAGTTATTGCAGTAGTAAGTGTGTGATAGTTTTGCATGCTTCAGCCCATTTACAAAAGAGATTTACTGACATATCTTCAGTCCAAATTCATGTCATAACACCAGTCGAGTGTTTAAAATAACTAACTTTTGTGACCAGACATGGTTTAACATCACAGAATGAAGAAGAAATCACATGAGTTTTCAATACAATGGTAAAGGCTAGGTCTATAAGCAGTGCATTATAGACCATTTTAATGTGGCCATGTCACTGCATGAACATTTGCTGCTTTTTGTCAAACTATTTTAATAACTGTAATGAGGCAATTCAATCCAATCTTAAAATTACAACAGCTGTCGTAACATTATTTATCAATATCCCAACCGTTCAGAATTTTCGGAAGCTAATATAGAAAATAAAAATGTAAAACTGGAAATAAGTTTGGACCATTGTTATTGTTTACATCCCTCAAAATGGTCTATAAATATATTTTATGCCTATATATATCTTTCCATAAAAAGTGTTTTGTAGGGTTAAAGACCAATTTTTTTGTAAAATATAAAAATAAAAACATGAAAAATACTTCTTTTCTATACAAATGCAGCATTTTTTGTCTCTCAGTGGATACATACTGTATGAACTATCATCAATAATATTGTTATCGCAATAAAAAAAGCCCCGGAAAATATTGAGATATAATTTTAAGTCCACATCTCCCATACCTACCAGTTACACCAGTTACAGACCGCTTTGGCCAGACTTGAGGAACCATACCACTGAACCATAAATTGGATTAAGAAGCATCTAAATATGATGACTATAAGTCTACAGCCAACAATGACGCCAAAAGGCACAACTGAATATAGCACATCACCACAGCCTGAGCCTGCAGATATGTCATATTTAGGGGTGAGAACATCTGCTGCTGAATACAACACCCATTTAGTGGTGGTATAAATAGGCTGAATTACATGAATCACAGCGAGTTCTTAACAGCTGTAGATCTCCAAAAGATCACCTCTCCAATACGGTCTTCTCTGATTCCTTCTTCTTTTTCTCCGGTCTACAGGAAGCTTTGGCCTAATAACAGGCATCTGCAAACTGGCCACACTCATTATCAGCTGGAGCAGTAAATACAGCCTATGACATCCCTCCACGCAGAGGTGTAAATATCACCTACACACTCTCTGTGGCGTTCTTTAGAAAGCATTGACGGATACAGGATGAAGAGAATAAGGACAAAACACTGCTTTCAAGAGAAAGATTTAGCCAAGTTTGGGGTTTGTGCTTTTGGACTACATGAGATGTTAAATTTAATTTGTTGTCATTTCACTCAGCAAACATCTTGTTTTTGTGAATAAGAATGAGCTCTTATATGTAACTAAAGCTAAAAGATGACGAATAAAGGGGTTAACAATAAGAAATTTAAATAAATTGCAGTTTCAAACTATTTACAAAAAACTAATTTTTTCACCTTATTTTGATTCAATGTCATTATAATGTCATATTTTGGGGTCAACTTTAGATCAGGTGGCTTTAACTACTATGCACTTGCAAAAATACAAATAAATGTATTTACAAAATAAATACAGTGTACTTACTGTGTTCATAATGTATTGCAGAACACTTGTGGTGCTCTTGAGATGGGATACGGGTAGAGTTAAGGACAGGTTTGGTGGTATGGGTAAGTTTAATGTTCAATTAAGGTGTATGGAATGGTCAACAGTGTAATTACAAATGTAATACAGAAATTAATTACAGATGTAATTACAAGCAGGTATTTAATCAATCATAAAAACATGTATACACAATAGCTGCAATTTAACAAATGATTAATTGGAGTGTAAGTACATATTAGTTAAGACCACTTAATATACAGTTGACGGACCCATATTTTCTTTTCACCTTTAATGCAGGAAATATAATATGTATATAAATGTAAAAAAAATTAAAAATGAAGCAAATATTATGCTAATTTTGATATTACAATAAAATAGATTTTTAATCATGAACATTATTGGTGTTCTACCAGAGTTGACCACTTGACCAACGAAAAAAGATTACCAAATCCTAAAATATATTGGACGTTTTGATAGATCCCCTGACCTTGACACAGTCCCATTGTCATGCATTATTATCTACTTGTGTTTTATAATCACCTATTAAATATTATTTAATACTTCAAAACAAAGCAGCTTCTTCCAGAAATATTATGTCCAAGTCAATTTTGCGTATATAGATTTATATTACAGATTGGCTTATACAACTCATTACACTGTTTATTGTGCACTCCTAGATGGAGTGTGTGTAAGGTCAAACTCAAACTTATTTATGAAAAACTCCATGTGAGCACAAAAGCACATGCACTGGGAATGGCACAGACCTAAACACTCTTGAGAAACACTTCTCAAGTGTTATTAAGTGTTCTGAACGAGCGACTAAAAGTGGCTTGCAAACAGCATCACTGTTTTACGGGTTCAACAAACAGCACAACAAAACTTTAAATGCACCAACATCTGTTTACTGCTAAAAACATAAGGGCACATGTACTGCTGGCGTAATTTTTGTCCAAAAATGGGCACAACGCACAGGTGTGTCAGGCTAGAAAATGTCAACATTAACATATATGGACCCCCTGAACATCCTAACTGCAGTTTGAGAGATGTAAAGCATAAAAACATCAATTTGATCAAGCATGCAACATTTTTAAGAGACAAACTAGTTTCATCTTCGTAACCCACCACGTACCCACCGCTGAACTTACCTTGTGACTGTCCTTCTCTTGACCGCCGGAGATTTTCACTTTAATGTTTTCAAAACCGGCAGATCACATTACATCACATCGCTGCGCTACGCCTCCAAACTTCATAAACTCTCTCAAAAGTCGCTCCTCCAAAACTTTAATTCTCCGTTGCGAAGTCTGTTAGAGGACCCAGTCCTGCTCTGAACACAGCAGACGTTGCAGCGGATCTCCATTCAGTAAATTCATCCTTTATTCCTTTAAAGAGCCGAGTTCTGGGGTCAGGTTACGCCGGGAGCCAAACCCCCTTCTCTGCTGTTCGATTCGTGAAAGACTCGTTTATCCGAGTCGGTTCCACAAGACCAAGCTTACGATTCACTGACCGTTTAACACGTTAAAAGACTAAAATCCTAGCTGACAGTAGAAATGGCAGGTGTAGCTTTACGTTACACTTTCTGATTGTTTCTGAGGTAAAAGTACTCGTACTGTTATTTACGTAATTTATTTAAGTAATAACCTAACTTTAAAGTTACTGATTATACAAATAAAAAAGTGGCATTTGTTCAACTTAGTTTTTTTTTTTACCTTTTTTGAGAAACAATTGTTAAATTGTGAGCATTATGTTGCATAAATGTAGATGTGCCGGTGTTCCGGAGAATTCAGTTCCCCTGTTCCCCCATTCACAGCGCATGCGCAACTTACGGCTGATTCCATGCACACAAATCATGACGTCATGAATTCACTTCGCGAACTGAAACAGTTCATGGTTGTTTTGCTGTATTTTCGTAAGCCCAGTGTTTATTTCATCACAGAGTTTATAAAATGTTTTAATTATTTGCATAGACACACGTGTCTATTGTATTGTTCCTGTTTTTAGCACGCGTTCGCTTGTTTCTTTCAAACAGTTTGCCTTGTCGAAAAAAATAAACCATACTACACTGCACAAATTATAGTGTTTTTTATTTCAGATAAATCACAGTGATACTTGTGTTGTTTTAAAAGACATATTTACGTAGCTTGTCATGTATCTTCAGAAAGTGACTTTACATTAAAAACACAGGAGTACAGATTTTCCCGAAGCAGAGGAAAGTGTTACCTTCTGAGGATTGGAAAACACAATATACAATGCCTTTTTAACATCAGATTTAAATCTAACAATTTTGTTACATTTTAAAAAAAACATAAGTAGGCGTAAATTAAAAGGATGATACATTAAATGAGTTTACTATTTGAACAACCCATATGCTTATCACTCATATATATATATAATTAATAGTTTAAACTAGCAAAAAAAGCTAAAATCTTTTAAAACGAACCAACCAAAAATACGTGCACATTTTCAAGTGTTTAAAGCAAGCTAAGCAATGATATTTTCTACATTATAGGCTGTACAATATATCTTATCAGCATTAATATTGCAATGTGCCCATCTGCAGTAGTCACATCTGCAATGTTGAACAGCACAGGAGTTCAGAGTACATGTGATTTGTGGAGTAGCTGCAGATTTTAACCAAAATTAAATAAAAAAGTATTATTTGCATGTGATTTCAAAGAGTTTAATACATTCAGGCACAATAAATTATAACTTTTATATCTTAAACAAATATTAATTGTACTTATTTTTAATATAAAGAAGACTAGTGTTATTTTACATTTGATTGTTCAATTTCTGTACTGAATGCTCCAAAAAAAAAAAAAAAACACTGTTTATCTCAGCAGTTTTGTCTTTGCCCTGTTTATATATGCTTGTAAATTGTTTTATGCATGATTCAATCAGTCCCCTACAAAATCATGCCAATCAATGTAAAATAATGAATTATTTTTTAACAGAGCTATTTAACCAATCTGGTGAAATTGTATTTATATCACAATATACAAGGCAGACCAACGAAATATTGCAATAGTTTTATTTTGTTTTTTCAATATCGCACAGCCCTATTCTGCCAACACATGACTGGTGATCAATCACAGGCAATCTGAAAGATCATGCAGGGTAATTACCCACAATTGCCTCAACATTAAAATAATGTTTAACAGCTTTTGTCAATTTAACAAGAAAGGTACAAAAATTGTTAAAAATAAAAAAGTACCCATTTACCCAAGCAGGTGAATGCATATGGTCATTGTGTAGTCCACAAAAATAACATAAATCACTGTAAATACACTTATCTGAACATATAAGAGTTTAGACATAATTATACCATTAAAAAATGTCACCAGCATCATTGTAGTGCCTTTCAAATCCACAAAAGGTAATATATAGGAGTTAACACTTCTTTGGGCAATGTAAAAAAATTACCATGCCTTTTCAATGGTAACACCCCTTTATAGATAGTAAAAAAGTAAAAAAAATACAAATTTGAGCCTATTTTTTATCTGTTTTCTGTGCTGTATCCATAATTGTTGTTTAAATGCCCTTTCTGCAGATGAAAACTGTTGGAGACAATTATTAGATTAAAAAGACGTCATTGTATTGTTGTTTAGTTTTTTTAATCCAGGAAACTTCCCTTGCTTACAGAAAATCTGTTCTCATGTGTTTTCATATGCAGATAAGTGTCAAATGTTTGCATTAACAGTCTATGCAATTTTTAAACATTACAAGCATCATCGTGACTTACCTAAAACAAGAGACACTAATTTTGCAGTGCTATTTTTCTCGACAAGGCTTATTTGAAAGACGATGCTTGTTTGAAAGAAAAACACGCACATCACGCACACATTAACAACAAAACAATTAATGAGTGCATGCAAAAATTACAATTACTAAATATAATAAAAAAATGTTTAATGCAAACAACATTAGGCTTGTTAATACAGCAAAACCAACACGATTTTTATTTATTTTATTTTCAAAACCAACACGAATTGATTCACTAGCGAAGCGAAAGCATGACGTCATTACTGAGAATTAGCGCATGCGCTGTGAAGGGGGGAACAGGGGGAACTGAATTCTCCGGAACACCGCAACCGGCGGTCAGGACAGCGTAATGACGTAAAAGAACCGCTGAATCATTTTGAGGATCCATTTCGATGAACTGATTCTCTGCGTGTCTGTACGTCTGCTCCGCACACACAGGAAATTGCATCAGGGGCCACTACTGTCCAGCTTTGAAGAGCTCAAAGTTTTCTGGCTCGCTCCTGACTGTCATTTTCTTAGGGAAATATATTGATACACGTGGGAGTGAATTTAAGGAAAGTAAACTCATTTCAAAAAAAAAAAGAACGCAATTAAAAATGTCTTATTTTTGCATAAGGAAAATTAACCAATTTGTTGTACCGTTCAAATTCTGTTATGGATTTTTCATGAAGATTGTTGGTCACCCAAAATTGAAAATCCTGTCATCATTCATTGCTGTTCCAAACCTATGAATATTTTAATGGAGCCAGATCAGTCTCAAAAAATTGCATTTTTACTAATTAAAATTCATTCGAGCACAGCACAATTCAATTCCTTTCTCTTTCTTCTCTCACTTAGTCCCTGATTTATCAGGGGATGCCACCATGGAATGAACCGCCAATTACTCTGGCAAAGGTTTAGTGAAATGGATGACTTGCAGCCACAACCCAGCACTAATTACACTACTGAAATACATTTGCACACTCTTATAGACACACTAATACGCTACGGCCAATTTTATCAAACTCACCTACACTGCATGTCTTTGGACTGTCGGAGAAGCCGAAGCACCCGGACATCAACAATCAATTGTTGATATCAAAAACTCTGTTTTGTTTAATATCAACAATTTAATTGACATCAAAATTACACTTTTGATTTTCAGTTTTTAATATCAAAAATATTTTTCATATTAACAATTGCATTTTAATTAAAAAATACAATTGTTGATATAAATGATCAATAACATTGTTAATGTCTGAAACTATATTTTTATTAAAAATTACATTTTTGATATCAATGCAATTATATTCAATTGATGATATCAGGCAACACAGTTTGTAGTCCAGTTGGCATTTCTGTGTGGAGTTTGCATGTTCTCCCCGTGTTTGCATGGGTTTCCTCCACATTCCAAAGACATGCGATGTAATAGGTGAATTAAATAAACTACATTGGCCGTAGTGAATGAGTGTGTATGGATGTTTCCAGTACTGGGTTGCAGCTGAAAGGGCATCCGCTGTGCAAAACATATACTGGATGAGTTGGTGGTTCATTCCGCTGCGGCAACCCCTGATGAATTAGGAGACCAAGCCAAAGGAAAAGGAATGAATGAATGAATGAATGAATGAATGAATGAATGAATGAATGATATCAACCTTTTAATTGTTGATATGAAAATTCTTTTGTTGATATCAGAAAATACATTTTTGAACTATAAAATGTTTTTGTTGATGTTAGAAATTCAATTGTTGATCAATTCAACAATTTAAAATCTGTTATCCAAAAAGTAAGTTTCTAAGGAGAGTTTATGTAAGAGACTGGTTTTATATGCCCTAAATGGCTTTAAAAAATTAATAATCATTATAAAAATTAATTAAAACAAAACCTGCAGAGTGCAAAAAATATAATAATAATGCCACTAAGATATATAATCTAAAAAAAAAAAAGTCAAATTAAGCTGCATAAGAATTCAGTTATACACTTTAAATATCCCATTTCCTAATCATTCTTTCCTTCATAATTTGTTTTGTTTGCTCATATGGAAAACTACATCTGTATGTAATGCCTTAATCAGCTGTATAACATTTCCAACATCATTTCTGTGGGTTTATTTTCTCCTTTACTGTGGCCTGAAATGGCAACACCCAAATACGTTAAGTCCAACTTAGGGCCTGCTGCAGATGTTTGGATCAAAATAAGAAAGCAGGCGGCACACATCCCAATCTCCTCATGCCTCCAGTGCATGTGCAAAGCATGTACTGTTGAGGTAATTGTAGAACCACACCCCGTTGTGTACAGAACAGAAACACGAGTCTATCAACAGATGGTCATACTTACACAAAGTTTCAAAGTTCATTGTTTCTGTAATTCATTGCAATAATTCACCATGTGCATTCAATGCAGTCATGTCACCACATCTCCATGTATTCAATGCACAGGTACATAAATATACCCAGCAAAATGCATACAATTATAAGAAAAAAATTCATAAATCATACGCTGTTCATTATGAGAGGACAGACTTTATTTCCTTACATAACATAAATGGTTTAATCTGCGATAAAACTTTGTAAAATGATCCAAAAATGTGCTTGTGATTTGAATTCTAA